GTTTTATATATTTTAAAAAATTATTTAGTTAAATCATAAATTTGGTGCTCATGGTACTTTAAAATTCCATAGGAAGTTCACAGTTTTTAACTAAATCTTCAGTAGTAAAGGCAAGTTAGCAGGTCAGATGTATCTATTCAATATCATTGATTCAGTTAGCAGTCTGGAATGACACATGCTACAAATACATAGGAATGTCAAGGGCATGTTGTCTTGGTAGTCTTGGCTAGAACTGTTATAATTAATCCGGAGAATATAAGACAGAAGCTACCAAGAAAGAAGGTAAGTAATTGAGACTATGGAGTTAAGGAAAATCCAGAAAAAGTTTCTTTTTCAAAGCAAGGACTACATTTCTTTTTTTAGGTATGTGGGTGAATAAAGTAAATTATATGCATTTCAGGAATTTGAACTGTACTCTTTCCATTACTGCTTTGACAAGCTGAGTGACTTTATCAGCTTTCCTAATCCTTCACGTTTTTCCACTAGTGAAATAAAGAACATTATTTATATCTCACATTCTTTTAATGTTGTGAGTTCCTGTTTATATAGAACTATTGAAGTATAAAATAGTTTCTGAAGTATAAGTAATAGTGACCATAATGCCTGTTATTAAGGCAAAGAAAATTTACATTTGTAAACTTAATAACCTTTCATTTCCTTTTCTGAATCACAATCTTGGAAGAGTTGAAAAACAGAAAGACCTCCTGTTATCTCACAGATGAAATATTTAGTTCACCGTGTTTTGTTCTCTTTGCAAATGATTTACTATATTTAATTTAAAAAAAATACAGGACTCCTTGACATTCTAGTCAAAACTGGTTACCTCTCTTGCAGGCAGACAGGTCAAAACTGGCTGATATTCAATATTATTTGTTTACCTCAGTTTTATCACGAATAAATCCAAGAGTCTTAAAAAGCTAAAGTATAACTATTTAAATAAATTAATGAAAAGATACAGCTTTTCATTTATTATACACTCTTTTCCAAGGAAATTATGGCAAGAAGGAGTAATAATTGAAATACAAGACTTTTAGAAATACATATTTTAGCACTGTAGTCCAGTTCATATCTTATCAGCTATCAAGGAATTTTTCATTACTTTAAAAGGACGGATACAGGGCAGGGTTAGATCATAGGAATTCCATTATTGAACTGTAAGAAACTGCAGGTTTATGGAGGACACTTTACTAGAAAAAGTTGACTGCTTGCACTGTTGCTGAGGTATCTGAAAGTGACAGGGTGGGTGGCCGTGAGGGCCCAGGGACAACTACATAAGAACTTGAATATAGCACGTAAACATGCAGTTCCACTGAAAATAAACAGAAGCGTCAGTGGGCACCGTCATTCCCCAGTTTAAAAATAAGATCACTTATAAACAAAATCTTTTTTTATTTTAGCCACAAGAAGAAAAAGGAATCTGTTTATTTAAGGCAAAGACCATAGTAACAAAAGGAGTGCCTCAGTTCAGTTTAAAGCAAGGGAATTTGATTTTGGTTCCTACATGTCAGTAGGTCCAAGAAAAGGACAGGCAAACACATTCAGAAAGTGGAGCTGGGGAAAAAACGTCTGAAGAGGTTCGTATGTGGATTCTGCTTGCCACAGAAAAAAGGGCACAGTTACAATGAACTGAGCTAATTGATAAAGACTGTTCTACCATGTAAATACTATTCAAACTGTGTTTGTGTTATGTGTGTGCTATATTCCATATTGTAGGAAATCTGCCCTGGCTGATAGGCCTGGCTATATTAAAGCAATTGTTACAGCCTAAAGGGAGAGAAACTTGGAGAGTAATTCAGTCCCAAAGGAAAGACAAGCTGGGAAAGAGACTTGTAAATGATGTAAATACGAACTTGCAGGTGCTTGAGATAAGCGTGGATTTAATGAAACAAATGATCCATTCTGAACTTATTTTGGAAACACATAGTCTTTAAGAACTTAGTTGATGAGTTGAATGAACTGGCCTAATTGAATTAATTCACACTGAGTGTTTGTGTATTCTACTTAAATGAAGCTAGAGCCAACAGTCCTGAAAGTTTTGAGGGGGGGGTTGTTTGTTTTCGCTTATTTATTTTTTGTTTTGTGATGGGAATGAGAAAGGAAAGGGGGTTGTGATCTAGCCCTAAAACAGGCAGAATAAAGCACAGATCAGAGAGACATTGAAGGGGTAGAATTACCAGGCTTTGCAGACTGACCGCATCAGACTGAGCTGGGCCAGTCCAAAGAGACGTGCTGTACAGAGCAGGAAGAGTGAGGTCAGAACATGCCAATGTGAGATGCCTTTATTCTTTTGTTTTTGTTTGGTTTTTCCTTTTTCTTGAGTTTATTGGGGTGACACTGATTAACCAAATCATACAGGTTTCAGGTGCCCAGTTCTAGGATACATCGTCTATACGCTGTGGTGTGTGTTCAGCAGCCCAGGTCAAGTCTGCTCCCATCACCCTTTAGCCCCTGCCACGGCCCACCCCACCCCAGCAGTCACCATCCAGTTGACCTTGTCCATGAGTTTTTCATCTTTTTTTTTCTCTATTTTTCACTCAATCCCTTTACTTTCCAACCCAGCCTCCCAATTCCAATCATAAAAGTTTAGAATGACATTTAATGCTTCCAGGTATTAGAGCTTACCTATCTGTAGATAAACCAGTTTATTTTTTGGCTCTATTATATTAATTAAAACTGTTCTGTTAAATGACTCTAAAATGGCCCCCTTGTGTAATTAAAAATAAACAAATTACTTGACTTTCCCTCCAAAAAGATACTTTGCTGGTAAGTAGAAAAATAAAGTGTAGTGGTTTGATTCATTTTACATAGCATTAGTTACTTTTTATGATTCCAGTACAGTAGAAGGTATATTAAATTATTTAAGATCTTAATTAGCCAACTCAATTTTAGGTATCTCTAATAAGTGTCTTATTTTTCTCACTGTAATATTTTAGCAGAGTTAAAAAAAGAAATCAGAGACTCTGCTTATAGAAAAGATAATATTAGAATGCACAAAGTACATGAATTCATGACAAATTATTAATTTTAAATAACATTATTTTTTAAATATTAAAAGCTGTTTTAATATACTAAGAAGTTTTTCCTAATAATCCAAACCTTTATTGATCTACAGCCATTTCTAGGTCAGCAGCCACACTCCACAGGCCAGGTCCAGTCTGCTGCGTGATTGTGTACGGCTGGCCGGCTGAGATTGGTATTTATAGTGGTTTATAGAAGAACATTTGTAGTCTAAATGATGACAGCGAGTACTGACTTTGAACCCCAACTAAGCAAAATGTTGACCCAAAATAAAGAATCCCTTTCTTCTTTTTTGTACATCTGAATTATAAAAGAAATTAAATTCAGTTATTATGCAAAAGAAATCATAGTCCGTTATTAAATTTTTACTTTTGCGATAAACATTTTGCGGTGGAAATTTGTTTTCTATTGGCTAAACCTACCTGCATAACAGCCTTAATTTTTGCCTCTTGGCATGCAAAGCCTAAAATATGTACCATCTGGTCCTTCACCAAATTTGTGGCACCCTGTTGTATTTTTTTCTCATTTATGTTTTCATTCACTCATACATCAATCAGTTCAGCAAATACTTTCTGAGTAACTCCCATATACCAGGCACTGTTCTAGGCCCTAGAGACACCATGGGGAACAAGATTTTATAAAAAATTCTGCCCTCATGAAAGTTATATTCAAATTATATACATTATCACCTCACAACTACCTTCTTCCATTAGTCCCATTCTATAAATGGGCAAATTGAGGTTGAGAGAGTTTACGTAGTTTACCTGCAGTCTCTCAGCTGGATTGAACTCAATTACACCTGACTGCAAGGCTTGAGTGAGCTTCTAACCACTGGGCAGCGGGGGTATCTGTGCTTGGTTTAATGTTGTTCTGTCACAATCTTGAAATTTTTAACCATTATTTGAACAAGTTTTTGAACAATAAACACATTAAATTTTGCCCTGGCCTCCAAAATTATGTAATTAGTCCTTCCACTGAGGCAAAAGTACTTCTTCTTAGACCACCTTTCTGCCTAGCTGTTTCTCTTTTTTCTCTTCCTTTCAATACCCACATAAATGTATCTATGGAGAGGGATTGAAATCTATCAAACACTTTAGAAAATCAGCTATTATTTTTTAAAGATTTTATTTATTTATTTTTAGAGATAGGGGAAAGGAGGGAGAGAGGGAAACATCAAGCTGTGGTTGCCTCTCGTGTAGCCCTCACTGGGGACCTGGCCTGCAACCCAGGCATGTGCCCTGACTGGGAATCCCTGGTTCGCAGCCCACTCTCAATCCACCGAGCCACACCAGCCAGGGCGGCAGCTATTATTATTTAATGTTCCAATTCAGCAAAAGACTGAAAGTTCCTTGAGGGCAGGACTGTCTCTCACAATAACTTTTTTAAGTTCTTCTGTGCCTAAAGCTCGTTTAAGAACACATTGAATACAGAATGAATATTTTTCCATGGCATTAAATTCCATTAATGTCTGAACTTTGTCAAGGGTAAGAGTTGGCTCTATCTCATCTTAATTTACTTCCAGGAAAGAGCAAAATCTTAACCAGCAATGCTTTCCTCTAATCTATGTGCATTTGTAAATTTTGAGACAGAGTTAGATCTGAATTAAACAGAAGAACTGACCTGGTCTGATATAAGGAAATGCTTTGTCTGCAGTCGATGACTGCAACATTGACACCTTTGAAGTACGCTCGGCGTTTACTGCATTTAAGATGCACGCTTTCCCCTGGCCATTGTGGCTCAGGTGGTTGGAGCTTCATTCCATAACAGAGAGGTTCAGGGTTGATTCCTGGTCCGGGCACTTGCCTGGGTTGCAGGTTTGTCCTGATGCATATGGGAGGCAACCAACTGATGTTTCTCTCTCACATCGATGTTTCTCTCTCTCTCTCTCTTCCTCTCTCTCTAAAAAGCAATGGAAAAATGACCTCAGTGAGAAAAAATAATAAAAAGGATGCTTTATCTCCCTTTCTTTCAATGTCTTGCAGCCTAGTCATTGTTGGATAAGTGAAATGGTGGAACAACTGTCAGTCAGCTTGACTGATCTTCTGGACAAATTTTCAAATATTTCTGAAGGCTTGAGTAACTACTCTATCATAGACAAACTTGTGAAAATAGTGGATGACCTTGTGGAGTGCATGGAAGGACACCCATTTGAGGTAATCTGGCATTCACTGGGATTGTTTTTGATCACTCTTCTCTAAAATCTATATCGGTTGTGGCAGCGGATGGGCATCTCTATTTGTGTGATTTTTAATGTATAGATTTGTAATTTAAATATATTTTGAAAGATGAGCACAGAAATAGATGTTTGTAGTTATGACGCAATGTTGAAATGGACATTGACTTAAAAGTTGTCATTTAATGTAAAAATTGACTTACATCATAATAGAAAAATAGCCCTAACTTTATTTCATATGTGAATGAAATTCTCATAACTTTCCTACTAGGTTACAAATGTTTATTTACCTTTAAATGAAAAATTGTGTATAATGAACCCTTAAACTCGACCTCTTACCCACAGTAATCATGTCATAGCAAAGAAGCACATTTTAGCATCTCCAAGTCATTTTATGAATAGTTGTTACAAACTTCAGAATGTGGGCATGACAGTGATTTGGCTTCTAAGCATATGGAGGAGGCAGTGTACCACTGGAGATTAGGTACCGAACGGGGGGTTGGAATTCAAACCCTGATGCCCTCACTGATTAGCTTAGCGAACGTCACCCCTCTGGGCTCACGTTCTTTATGCCTAAAATGGGACAATGATCCAACCCATGGAGTTTACATTAGATGATTTGTGACGAGTACTTTAGCTTTGTGTCTGTCAAAAGAAATTTTAATAGATTATTTTTATTATGACGATTTTATAACACTGTTTCTGTAATAGAATAGGTCTTAGGAGACTTGCTTCCGCATACAGTTCACAAGCCAAGGTTTAGTCTACAGGCCCTTTAGAAGTTTAAACCTAAGATTTTAAATAATGATTCTGTGCTATAACACTCAAACACTTCCCACTCATCAAAATTCCAGTTGCCATTTAAGATCCAACATTGGTCCCGTTGTGTTCTCCGACCTCAGAACTCTTATCAGGCCAATAAGCTAATCCCCATCTATTATTCACCTCCAGTTTCTGAGTCAGAATGTGTCTTACACTCAGTGACATCTTAGAGTTAACATCTATTTTTATATCATCTCAGCATAAATGGGGTGCTGATGGCACTGATAAGAAGCAGAGGTCACAAAAAGTAGGGTCTGTCAGGTGAGGTGTCATGAAGGAAATATTATGCATGGAGCTGGAAAGATGAGGTAGGTGTTATGTGAATGGGGATGCAAGCAAGAGCATCCTGAACACCAAAGAACTTGCATTTAGTGGTCATGACACTTTGGCTGGAACCCAGCAGATTTATTCAGGTGTTATTTCTCAGTTGTTCTGGAGATTGAGTAAATACATGTGAAGCACTTAAAGAGATACATAGTAAGTGCTATTTAAGTGTTAACTCTTTTTTATTGTTGTTCATGAACAGTTGTCTCCATTTCCCACCACCACCACTCCCGAACCCCAGCCATCCCCACCTCCCACCCTCGATCCTAACCCCACTTTGGCTTTGTCCATGTGTCCTTTATACATGATCCTGACAACCCTTCTTCCCTTTTCTCCCATTATCCCCCTCCCCCCATCCTCTGGTTACTGTCATTCTATTCTGTATTTCAATGTATCTGGTTATATTTTGCTTACTTGTTTGTTAGCCAGTCAAGTGTTAACTCTTATTATTGCCAGATTTTCTTTATAGATAATCATGCATTTATCAGTTCCTAAAATATAGCTTTGATTTGCTTTGGGAGACTAAAAATTAATCATACTGTTTATTCTTTTGTGACTTCTTTCACTCAGCACTATGTTGATAAGATTTATGCACTTTGATGCATATAGCTGTGGTTAATTTTTCACTGCTTATATAGTATTCCATTGATTCAACATACCACTGTTGATTAAACCAGTCTCCTGTTGATTGATACAGGCATTTATAAACACTACTGGTAAGAACTTTCTTATTCATCTCATGGTGCATAAATGCAAAAGCTTCACTCGAGTGTTTACCTAGGAGTGGAGTTTCTGGGTCACAGGAGGGGCAGGCACAGGTTCCACTTTACTAGATAGTATCAAATGTGCCCATTTATATCATTCCATCAGTGTATAAGAGTCCCCTTAGCCCCATCCAAATTCTTGCCAATGTTTAGCATCAACAGACTTTTAAATTTTTAGCTATTTGGAGGATATGTAATGGAGGTTTATTTTTTAAAGTGAGGAATAATGATTATAATGAGCACCTTTAAAGAGCAGTGCCTCTAATTTGTCACTAGGAGGATTTCATTGTTATGATGTTGAATTCACCTTACTCGTCCACTGCCCACACTGTTCTTTTTATCTGGGGTTGAGCCTCAGACTGAACTGAATGGGATCACTCTCCTGCTGTACCAGTTTGGATAAATGTATGTCAAAACAGTCTTCTAACAGTGGTAGTTTTCCTTGAATCTTTGAAGGACATAGTCTTTTACTTTGACAGTTAAATCTGTAGACTCTTTGAAAAATATAATTCTGTTTTTTCTCCTTCTAGAATGTAAAAAAACCATCTAAGAGCTTAGAACCCAAGCTGTTTACTCCTGAAGAATTCTTTAGAATTTTTAATAGATCCATCGATGCCTTCAAGCACTTGGAGATGGTGTCACCTAAAACTAGTGAATGTGTGGTTTCTTCTACATTAAGTCCTGGAGAAGGTAAGACAGCTAAGCACTTCTAATTTAAATGTAAAAATAAAACTTGAATCTCATATGTGTACATAGGAACCTACCTCTGAGTCAAATATATGTAATTAGAGAAAGATGGATGTGTTATGTCCAATGAAAAAGCAAATTATCAATACCATAAAAGACATTAATGGTTGTAGATGTGTTTTCCAAGTCAAAGAGATACTCATTATTTTCAAATTAAAGAATTGTGTGTGAGTCAACAGTAAACAAATAGTCACTCATATTTTTATCATCATTTATCTGGTATTTGTCACTAGAGTACAATTATATTATTCTTTACCTCCCATCTTCTTAATGTCCCTTTGTAAAATCTTTTCCCAAAGGGTCTGAGTTATGAATTCTGATCTCCACTAGTTACACTGTGTTGAGACTCTTTCTCCCCAACCCCCTTCTCTAGGGTCCCTATAATACAAAATTTTAATGACATTGCCTTTTTAAAAAATGACCAAGTCTGAACAATTCTTATTTTTTACATTTACTAGCCTGTATAGGCAGTGAATCTTTGTTCTGTAAGGTGACTGGTGAATTTCTTACTAAAAATAGAACAGTAAGACCTAGTATGAAATAAATAGGATGGAAATAATCTAGATTTGGGAAGTGGACCTGATAAGTGCTCTGGTATTGCACTCAGCCTTCTGGGAACTCTGTAATATCTGTCAATCACCATGCAACACTGACACATTATTGCTTTCTATTTAGATTCCAGAGTCAGTGTCACAAAACCATTTATGTTACCCCCTGTTGCAGCCAACTCCCTTAGGAATGACAGCAGTAGCAGTAATAGTAAGTACATACATCTGATTTAATGCATGCATGGCTCCAGTTAGCATCGATAGGAGTATTGCATGAGCTTTGAAGGAAATCTCTACACTTATTACTGTTAATACTGTTCCATTACTGTTTTTCCTGTTATGGTCTTCCTGAGAGTCAAATGTTAGGTTTGTAGAAGCTGGTTTCCCTACAGTTTGAGATACCTTATTAGAGAATTGGGCTGATAAATTTTCAGCTAAGATTGTTTGAATAAGACATGAAATTACTTTCAGAAATGTGATTTAAGCTTTTTTTCATTGTTGACTTAAAATATATTCCATGTACAATTTGCCTAACAAAAGTGGAATTTTAAAATGGAAAGTACAAATGCTAGGTGTATGGAATTCCAAGGATATTTTCAGTTTTATATATATTTTGCTATGCACTATTGTGTATTTGAAAATTGGATGATTTTGTTATTTGATTATAAAATTATATGTTGGAAGAGAGTGTGCTTCCTTCCCTGAAATCGCTGTCGTCTTTGGCCAAGAGCCCAATTTCCTACAAGTCTAATGTCCTCTTTTCAAATCTAGGCAAAGGTTGTTAGATTTACTGAGTAATCTGACCCCCTAGGTTCATGGAAGCTGTAAGAGAAAAAAATTCATTTTGTGATCTTAAGCTAAGGAAGTCATCCCTGAAGACTGAGTAGTAGGACATCGTTAGAGATGTCGTACAGTTAGAGACACTGAAGACCTATCTATAAAAAGAAGTGATCGATTTATTATAAATCCATAGTAGCAATTCTGCATTGCAGAAATTTTTAAAAAGAATCTCTAATATTCCTTTCATTTCAATTTTTTCCAACCAAACCTGACCTGAATTGAGTTGAGGCTTTTGATAGCTTTATCCTTCTAAAAGTAAATATTTATACATTTATCTATAAAAATATCAATGTATTTGATTGCAGGTTGCCACCCTGACCTCACTGAGGATATTATATAATATACAATATATGCAAAAACCAGAACCTTCTAAAGTCTAAAATTTTGAATTATACAATAGTTCAAATCTGAAAAGTTTTGTAAAAGAACTATGTGTATGCTAGTCAATTAAGGTCTTTCTTACTAATTATGGATTTTATTAATTTTTTTCAAAGAAGCAACTTTCACTTCTTAAATTCTATTTGTTTATATTTCATTGATTTCTAATCTTTATTACTTCTTTCATTCTGCTGTGGATTTAATTTGCTCAATTTGTTCTAGCCTCATAAGGTCTTAAGGTGGAGAAATCAGATCACTGGTTTTTAAATCATTCTTCTTTTCTAATATGAGCACCATAAATGTGTAAATTTCCTTGTAAGCAGCTTTAGCTGCATCCTGCACATTTACATTTATTTTATTTTATTTTATTTTTTCCATTACTATCTACTGCATCCCACGCATTTTGATATGTTGTGTTTTCACGATTATATTTTTAATATTTTAAAATTCTCTTTGTGATTTCTGCTTTGATTCATGAATAGTTTGAAGTCTGAAAATGTGTTTTCCCTAGATGTTTTATTGTTACTGGTTTATAAATTAACTCTATTATTTGGAGAACATACATTATAATCTTTTGAGATTCGACACTTGTTTTATGTGTATTGTTCAGATACCAGGTGCGAGCATTCTCAAATTTAATTAAAGTGGTTGCTTGTGTCCTTCGGGTCCTTCTATATTCTTATGAAATTTTTTGTGAAATTTTTTTATCAGTTAGTGAGAGAGGGAAATTAAAAATCTTTACATTGTGGATTTGGCCACTTCTCTTTTTTTTAAAGATTTTATTTATTTATCTTTAGAGGGGAAGGGAAGGAGAGAGGGAGAGAAATATCAATGTATGGTTGCCTCTCGTGGGTCCCCTGCTGGGAGCTGGCCTGCAACCCAGGCATGTGCCCTGACTGGGAATCGAACCGAGATCGTCTGGTTCGCAGGGCCCCACTCAATCCACCGAGCTACACCAGCCGGGGCTCACTTCTCTTTTTTAAAGCATATCTCTGGTAGACAGGATATAGGTGGGTCTTGTTGTTTTATCTAGTTTTTCTGACTTTTAATTAGAGCATTTCATTCATTTATATTAATATGATTATTGGTACAGTTGGGCATGGGTTTACCATTTTGTACTGTGTTCCCTGTTTGCCCCATTTGTTTATCGGTCCTCTCTTCCTCCTTCCCAGCCGTCTTTTGAGTTAAAGTGTTTGTATGCACATGTATGGCATGCACACGCGTGCATGTGTGTGTTCTATTTTGATTACTCAGCTGGATTTTCAACAGCACATCTTGGCATTTTCTTGTGGTTGCTTTAGGAATTACAACAGACATCTTAACTTGTAACATCCTACTTAGAGTTAATACCATGGCACTTTAAAAACATGTAAGAACCTGGAAACAGGATAGTGCCACTTACAACCATATTTTGTGCTGTGTTGATGGATATGTATACATATACATATTGTCATAAACTCTACAATGCAGTATTAAACTCGATGATTTGAACCATCATCATCTTTTATGTTTACCCACATAGTCTTTCTGTCTTGTACTCTTCATTCCTTCCTAGCAATCCAAGTGTCCAGCCAGGGTTGACCACTTCCAGGCTGAAGAACTTCCATTGCCATTTCTCGTTAGTGTACATCTGCTCACCACAATTTGTTTCTTTTAATTGAAATCTGCATTTTTGTATTTAATATTGCAGGTATTATTTACTAGATATGAACTTCTAGGTTAACAGATTTTTAGTTCCGTCCTTTAAAGACGTTACTCTGTTTTTCTGTGTCTGTTGTTGCTCACGAGGTCACCAACATCTGTATTATTTTTTTTTCTCTTATGCGCTGGGTCATTTTTCCCCTCTGCCTTCTTTCAAAAATTTCTTCTGTTTAGCAGTTTAAGCCAAAGTGCGTGTTCTCTGTATTTATCTTTCTCATTGTTTGTCAAACTTCTTGGTTATGTAAGTTAATTTGTCCCAAATTTGGAGAAAATTTTGGCATAACTTTTTAAAATTTTTTATTCTTTCACCTCCCCTTCTGAGACACAGATCACATATAAGGAGCAGTCTGATATTGTCTCACAGATCATGGAGATTTTGTTCAGGTTTTTTTTTTCGACCTCTCTTCTCTTCATTCTTCAAAAGGAATAGTTTCTGCTTATCTTTTTTTCAAGTTCCCTGACTCTTCTGCCACCAACAATCTGCTACTTTTTTCACCCAGTACATTTTGTTGCCATTTTTTATTTGTTATTTAAACTTTATTGTATTTTTCCATTACCATTTAGTCCCCTTATACTATCTCCCCAAGAAATCACCACACTGTTGTCCATGTCCAGGAGTCCCTTTTTCTTTTTGCTCAATAAATTTAGAATTTATTTTTTAGAGCAGTTTAAGGTTCACAGAAAAACTGAGGGGAAGGTGCAGAGATTTCTCATACACCCCTGGCCTCCATACATGCATAGACAGCCTCCCCCATTATCGACATCCTGGCCAGAGCAGTTCATTTGTTACAAATGATGAACCTTTATGGACACATTATTAGCACCCAAAATCCGTAGTTTACATGGGGTTCACTCTTGGTGTTTTACATTCTATGGATTTGGATCCAATATAATTTTTTTATTTCTAAGTTTGCTCTTTGTGTTATAGGATTTCCATTTGATTATGTTTTATATTTTCCTGCTGAGATTTTTTTCCATGTAGTCATTACAATAATATTTTCTTTGGTGGCCCTTGGATATAGTTATAATAGCTGCTTTAAAGTTCTTTTCTCTAATTTCCACATGCAGGTCATCTCAGTGTTGTTTTCTATTGATTAATTTTTTTCCTCCCTGAGTACAGTCACATTCCCCTTTAGATGGCTTGTAATTTTCAAACCCATGCTGGACTGGTGGATACTATGTAACTGTGCCTGCAGAATGTGTAGCGTTCCTTTAGAGACTTGAATTTGTTCCAGTGGGTAGTTCAACTCCAGCAGTCCCCCAGTATCTGTGGCGTATGCTTTCTGTGGTTTTAGTCCCCCACAGTCAAATGTGGTCTGAATATATTAAATGGAAAATTCCAGAAATAAACAATTCATAAGCTTTACATTGTGCCGTGTTCTGAGTAGCATTCTAAAATCTCTCACCATCCTGCTCTATCCCACCGGGAAGTGAATCATCCCTTTGTAGCGCATATCCATTCTGTATACCATCCCTGCCTGTTAAGTCACTAAGTGGCCAGAAAACTTCCCCATTCTTGCTGTCAGAACTCCTTCGTCTCTGAATGACTGTTACAGCGCTGATAAAGTCTTAGCTGCACAGGCATTGTTTCATTTAGTGCCAGGTTTTGTGAAGTTTCAACTGGTGCACTGCACATAGAGCCTATTTGAGGAGTGGCTTAATGAGACTTTTATGGAAATTTCTGAGGCTCCTTCTCTGCTGGCCTCCTTTCCACAAACTCCAGCCATGTCAGCCACCCTGAACTTCAGTCTGACTTCCTGTGTCAGAATACTGAGCCCTCCTTGGGTTCTACCTTTCATGCCTCTGAAGGTGCCTCCCAGCCAGAAAACCAGGGCAGTCAATGGGCCTTACTCACCATGTGTGTTTTCTCTCTCAGGACTTTTACTCTTGTGCTGCCAGTTGGCTAATGTGTCTGAAAACAGCTGCCTCAGATAATTTGTCTAGTATAATAATTATCTAGGTTGGAAAGGCTCATCTGCTACCATCATGGTTGGAAGCAAACTTCTTCTCCACTTACTTTAAAAGACAAACTGAAGCCCTGGCTGGTGTAGCTCAGTGGATTGACAGCAAGCCTGCGAACCACGCGATCGCAGTTCGATTCCCAGTCAGGGCACATGCCTGGGTTGCAGGCCAGTTCCCAGCAGGGGACACACAAGAGGCAACCATACATCGATATTTCTTTCCCTCTCTCCTTCCCTTCCCCTCTAAAGATAAATAAATAAAAATCTTAATAAAAAAAAGACAAACTGAATGCAAAACACCTATTCAGTCTGTGCCTCTGAATCTGAAGGTACTTTTAAAATTGCAAAATGAATGGTCAATCTTCTGTTTGTTTGTTTTGCTTTCTTTCATTTCTTCCTTTTGTGAAAAGTACGGGTCTTGCACAATAAGCAGCTTTTGACCAGGTGCTAGTGCTCATGAATATGGCACTTAGATACCGATGCACCGGCCAAGCTCCTGTAGAGCTTGTGTTCTAAGGGAAACAGGCATAAATAAAACACTCGCTATTTTGTTATATTTATACTGCATATAATGTCTGTGTAATATACAGTTGGCCCTTGGACAACATAGGTTTGAACTGTGCGGATCCACATATATATGGGTTTCTCTTCCATAAATACTTGTATGGACTATTTTTGATATGCAATTGGGAGTTCACGGATGTGGAGGCTAAACTGTATGAGATGATCTACGACACTTACATAGGGGACTTTTATATCCACAGGGGGTACTGGAACCAACTCCCCCTGTCCAGCCCCACAACAGTACCCCTCAGATATCAAGGACAGTTAAGTTTTGAGGGAGTTAGAAGTTATATGTGGATTTTCAACTGCGCGTAGGAGGGGGCAGATTGCTGCCCCTAACCCCTGCATTCAAGGGTCAACTTTTTATTATAATATGTATAATAATAGATGTACATAAATGACTATTGCGGGAATAGGGTCAGGGATACATGAAGAAAGCTAGTTTTCAGGGATAACAACCAAAAAGTGGCCGTGCTCACCGGAAGACTGGGCCCTGTGAAAGAGTCTAAAAATGTGTGTCTTCTTTGTAGCTTGTAAAGGGGAATCCAGGTTACCCAAAGGGAGTTGTATTTTCAAAGTAACAGTAACATATTTTGTACCAAGCTAAAAAGATGTTTTAAAAATGCTTATTTTCAGATCCTTACAAAGAGCATTTATACATGATACAGAAGGAAACCCTTACTTTGGTATTACCGTAACCATCTTCTAGAAATATAGTCTTGAGGCAGATTGCCTTGATGCTGTCTCTCAGCCCATGCCCCGCCGTTTGACCTTGGGCTAGTGCCTTGATCTCTCTGGACTCCCCAGTCAAGTGGAGGATGATACCACCTTCACGGGGTTTCTGTGAGTTTCAAACATCGGCACACATGAACCCGGAGCCATGCCCACTGTGTAGTATGTGTTCACCATTAATTATTAGAACAATTGGATGCACTGAGGCTGCATGGGTCAGTGAATGGCAAGCCCATGGTAACCTTTGGATTTGAGTTAAGAAGTGGCAACAAGTAGCTTGCTCCCTAAGCACCGAGACATCCCTGTTCACAGTGCGATACTTGAAAACAGACTCACCCTAAAAAAGAGTTCAGCAAATTTGTAGCACAGTTTTTGTGTCCTGTATTTGTACAGATGTTGGGCATCAGTAGTCAAACAGAACAAGTCAATTCCCACAAAGTTTGGACAGTGGAAAGTTTCTTTCATTCTGATATAAAATTAATATGCTAACAACCCAGGAATTTAGGATTACTGAAATCCTATGCAGATGAGCTCCCTCACTCTACAAGATTTCTTTAGGCAGTCTTTACAGGAAAGCAAAGCTTTATTACTGCTTGGGCTTTGGCCCTGAATACCCTTCACATGGGCCTGGAGGCACCTGATCCAAATCTCACTGATCCTTGGTAGACAGCATTAGCAGCAAGTGTTGGGAGTCAGGCCCTGGAGGTGCCAGCAAACCATCTCTGATAACATTTTTTTTTGGTTTCCTGCAAGAAGGATGGCAGTATCATTATTAGGCCACTTGAATTAATAGAAAAAAATAAGTGAGGAAACCTTGACCTTGATAGGAGGCAAAGCTCAGTTCCCTTGGTCCCACTGTTCCCCTCCCAGTATTTACCAGGCCTCTCCTGCAGGACGCCAGTCAGTTTCCAGGACTTTGCCTGGGGCCGCAGTCCTAGGGGTGGAACTTTCAAAGCAGTTAAAAAGTCACAGTACTCAGGGTGAGATGAGCTTTCCTGAGTTAGGTTTCTCCAGCAGCCTTTGTTTGCAGTACCTCCCTTAGGGGCTTGTCTTACCTAAGAAAAGGGTTGAGTGGGAAATCCCAGAACACCTCACTCTCTTGTAAGCTCCTTCTGCTTTTTTTTATGCTGTGGTCTCGACTTGAATGGTGCAGTTCAAGATTTGACCTTTGGATAACACAGGGAGAACAGGGTGTTTGGCTGCCCTGATTCCCCTCCAGACCTCTAGCCATGGAGTTCTCCATAGCACCGCCCTAGCTCATTCGTTTTCCATGGTGCTGGGGGACAAAATATCAATAGCCTCTTTTGTTCCCTCTGTTAACATTGGTTAGGGCTCCTCAAGGAGGGTCCATGGTCAAATCTGTCAACATTGCACACCAGCAATTCTGGTATCGAATGTGAGCCAGAGCAGTTGGCTGTTAAGAAAAACTCAAACATGTGACTGGAGTACAAACACGGGCAGTTTATTTGTAGATAGTAAAGCTAAAATTCCTAAAATGGTAGGAATTGCATGTAGTTCCGAATCTTCTTTCTTACAGAGAACACTTTGATAAATGGTTAAATCCCAGACTAGTGCACATAGAAACCCCTTAAAGTAACTGTATTGTTGTAATAATAGTAACGCTTTGGTTACATTAAGCCCTATTTTATAATGCAGGCATATTTTGGTGAGAGAATTCTCACTGGGCTCCAATTGAGATGCCTAAACGGTATTTCCCACAGGCTTACAGGATGTGAGGTGGGTCGGAAAAACTGTGAGTCAAGTCTCAAGGAAGCGATTTACTGGCATGTGAATGGAAGACCCCACTTCCCTACCCAGTCCCCCCGTCCCTTACACACACACCCTCCACGCAGGACCCCTCAGTGCTGACATGTGCCCTATTATTAGAGCCTCTTTGGAAACATAGAAATCATAAAATTAGTGAATTTTCTACTTCCACCTTACAAATGGTGGGAAAACAAGTAATTCCTGTTCTCTCTAGAGTAGGTAAGATTTGTTTCTGGCCTCCCATTTTAAATCTTTGTGTTTATTTTTTCCCAGTAAATGTTGATACATATACATTGATTCAGTTTTTTTATATTATGTTACTATATTTAGGAATTTTATATGTTAATTAGGTGGCTGTAGGCTGACAGAAATTTGAGCATCATGGTAAAATATCATAGCCCAAAGCAGTCACTTTATCTTGGATTCATTTACATTTTCATTATATAATTATTGGAAATGTATAATTTCTAAATTTATCGCATCGTCCAAAGACAACTGAGATTTTAACTTCCAGAATGGCATATGCCAGTGTTTCCAAACCACAAAGTTGTTCCCTGTCAAGAGACAGTGAAAAATCTGTCAAAATGTTAAGTTTTGTGTTGGGAGGCAGAGACTCTGGTGGGAGATGTGATTTTTTTGTATCATGAGTCACCCCGCTTCCTGGGGAAGAGCCAAACAGGAACGAGGAAGGTGTTCTCGGATAATAAATGTCTTCTCTCTCACTAAGTTACTTATTTAGAGTAACCAGTGGGGAGACACTGGTGCTTTCCACCATTTTCTAATGTTCAATAGTCTCAGGCTTTCCAAAATAAAAATTCCGAGAAGTCAAACCTTTGGCTTATAGCCCAGTGCCTGTCACTGCCTGGTGTCCAGAAACTGCGTGTTGAGGGCGTGAGAAGGAAACAGCATGACTCTGAGTGTGAGGCACCTACAAGCGGTCTACCCACAAGGGACACAGGACGGCAATGCATAGCTGGCCAGACACGGCTTAATACATGCAGACCTTGATCTGGGTCGTAACACATCAGCTTTAAAACTGCTTGGCTAGATATCAAGAATGAGAAAGTGAAAGATGTGGAAGATAAAGTCATAGAAGATGGATTTTCCTGGCAGGATAAATCATTCTTGCCCCCCATAACCACTGCCCAGGAGTACATTGTCTGTATGCCCCACGCATCAATAGTAACCCAGTCTGATCTCCTTTTGTCTGTGGGCTTGTTTCTTTTTTCAACTTATTTACCTTTTGGAGACTACATGGATTTGTATGGTCATTTCAAAATAATACTCTGCAGAAAATTCAGCGGTTTAAATATTTTGAACAGAGATAGGTCAAGAGCACGTTACAGAAACAGTTGGGAACGACCAGAGTGATAAGAGCCAAACCGCTAGTGTGGACGTGTTGTGCTCACCACCGTACTGTTGAAATTACAGGGAAGGCCTCGTATGCCACTGGAGCCTCCCACCTGCAGTGGGCAGCCATAGTATTGCCAGCACTCGTTTCTCTTATGATTGGCTTTGGAATTGGAGCCTTATACTGGAAGGTAAGTGTTGCTTTTTGACCGATAACTTTCTGACTTTATATATTTATTTGTTCTTACTATATGTACATAAATGGTGAACAAACAAATGCCTTTTTCTATGCAAGGATCTCACCAAGAAAATGATCAAATAGGCCCTGGCTGGTGTGGCTCAATGGATTGAGCATGGGCTGCGAACCGAAGGGTTGCTGGTTCGATTCCCAGTCAGGGCACATGCCTGGGTTGTGGGCCAAGTCCCCAGTAGGGACCATCTGAGAGGCAACCACACATTGATGTTTCTCTCCCTCTTTCTCCTCACTTCCCCTCTCTCTAAAAAATAAATAAATAACATCTTAAAAATAAAATAAAATAAAATAGGTGAAGTTCAACCTTAACAAAATTTCAATCTTAGAAAAGTTTTTCCCCCATTCCTTGTTGTGCTTTGGAGGTAACTCCTCTGGCTAAGAATGCACACATAAGAAATGGTAGCTGGTTTGGTAGCTTCAACTAAATATAAAACAGGATAGAATATGCGAGAATCTGATGACGGGCTTACTCCAAACAGAAATGCCATTTGTATTATCTGCTCGTTTGGATTTCTGCCTTCCGTTTTCTTTTTGAAGCCTGTCTAAAATTTTAAAATGTGCTAAATCATTGTGACTCAGCTTTTTGAAATGCCTTTTGAATTTGATTACTATTTAAATATTTCAGTTTCTTTATTACATTTTTGTCTACAACATTCTAAAATTGCTGAGTCGATAATACCATGCATTTTTTATAGCTTCTTATAGGAAGAATATTTTACATGCTGTCTTCTGAAGAAAACTTGTTGGAGTCATTGCCATAAAGTAGAGACCACTTACCTCTTCAACATTGCTTCTTACTGATATTTTTACCATATATATATATATATATATCATTGTTCTTTTTCCAGAAGAAACAACCGAATCTGACAAGGGCAGTTGAAAATATACAGATTACCGAAGAGGATAATGAGATAAGGTATTTTGGTTTATTAAATGTGTGCACAAGTAAGCTTGACAGTGTCATTTCGCGTACCATGCACAGTGTCATCATGTCTGTTACGAAGTTTTCACTCTTACAGTAGCAGCTCCCAACCCATGTCTTCTCAGTCTTTGCTCACATTCCTAACCTCTGACTCTTTCTGCAAGCTTACATGTCCATTACCTGTAGGGTACCTTTCTTAGGGCATTGGAAGTGGTCCTCTCCAATTTATTTTTGTGAGTAGATCCTTGCTCAGACTCCTGGTCATCGGGCTCGGTAGCCATGTTTGCATATCCTTCTTTTCCACACTGTTACCCAGACATACTGATTTCTGTCTCAAGTCTCTTATTAGCTTAGCTCCTTCATTGGCAATACTGATTATCTTCATCCATATCTTTATTATGAGTTGCTGCCACATAATCTTTTTCTTTCTTAGCCCCTCTAAACACTACCTTGTCTCATTCTTCTTTAACTTTAGTTCATAACATCACTTCCTAGTCAAGATACTTGGTGATTTTTTTCTCGCATACGTAATACATTTGGCTTCATTCTAGTTTTAGAGCCCTTACTGTTACCCAGTGTATTCAGTATTTTCTCCAAAGCCAAATATAAAATATAGAACTTGTTTTAAGTTACCTTTCCATGTACTGTAGCTGACCGTGATCACTTTTTTACCTCATGCCATATCACCCCAGTGCTGATACTTTGATTTTACATTCAGTTATAGTTTCCATTTGTCATGTTACTTTCTGTCAGATTACTCCTGTTCATATGCATATTCACACATTAAGTGCATATAAGCATTTTTAGTGTGGGCATATGCATATGAATAGAGAATTTAATAAGTACTCAGGGAGAGTATGATGAGGGATATAAAGTCTCCCCTCAGCTTTATAGTTTTATTTATGAAGGTAAGCTTCCTAATCACCTTTGCAACCTTCTGTTACTATATTTACAGAAAAAAAATACTGCCTTTTACAATGCTCAGATCATGATGTACTTCAGAATCTCTGTCCAAAAGCAAATAAGCATTTTTCTTATTGTTTTTCAGTATGTTGCAAGAAAAAGAGAGAGAGTTTCAAGAAGTGTAATTGTGGCTTGTATCAACACTGTTACTTTTCATACATTGGTAAGTTTTTAGAATTCAAGCTGAAAGATTTAATAAGAACTATGCAGCATCTTACAGGCCAAAGTTTAGAAACAAAATGTATTATCTTCTATTAAGTTGATGTCTGATATGTTCACTGAAAGCTGTCACATAATTGAACTGTGCATTTCAAACCCATTGCTATAGTCTAAAGTTCTGAAAGGCAAAGCAGCGTTAGTCCTCATGAGTGGGTTAATCTTGCATATAAAAAATTAACAGTTAAGTTTTACTGTTTTTGAGGCCAGAAAATAAATTTTGCAGGGAAATAAAGTAAATTAGGACTAAAATAAAGTATTATTAGTAGAAGAATAAATAAAATCAATTTCAATTAGGTATAACTACTGTAACATGATTTAAAAGAAAAATATTTCATTTGTTAGATACTGAAATGAGCAAACACAAAAACCATGTCCCTGCCATTTTGAGGAAAAAGGAGAAAAGGTCGAAATATCTTAACAATCAGGAGAGGGGAATTGTCAAGGTAAAGTGCCACCTGCCTCATGACTGGTAAACACTGTGCCTCATCACAGTACAGAGCCCAGGGCGCACTGAATATAAACAAGTGAGAAGTATCTGTCGTGCTGTGTGAGACTGCCGAGGGCTTGTGGGGGAAAGGAGAGTGAGAAAACATTTCCAGAAGGACTGAGGTTCACATCTCCCCTCCCAGATCCCCAACTCCAAATACTCTTGGGGGAGCACCCCAAATGGCACTAACCTAGTCCAGCCTGGATTCATGCTCTTCTCACTTTCACTTCTGCCAACTGCCTCTTAATTTTGTTATGCCCATGGAATCCTGAGTGCCTTTATTACAGTGGGGTATGAGGGTTCTCTCCAGCTCTTTAGTTCTTCCTCATATTCTCTCATGGTCACAGGAGCATCACTCCGTCTCCCGGATTGTATAGATGCAGTCAGCGGTGAGCTTGGTCTTCCTCTTAGAGGTCGCTGTCCTTCTAACTTGCACTTCTGTCTCAGTGGTGAGCTTGGTCTTCCTCTTAGAGGTCACTGTCCTTCTAACTTGCACTTCTGTCTCAGATTCCAACATTTATCTCTAGATTGAAACTTCACCAGTAAAAACTGGGCCACAGAACCTTTCACCTCTTCCAGGAGCACTCACTTTTAGAATTAAGACTATCATTTTCAACAACCCAAAATAACACAATACAATAACCAGGATGTCACATATTTCTCTAACACTTTAACCTTGCTCCTGCACAGACTTCATTTTTGTCCTTCATCATGCCCTTGATCACTGTGCCCAAAGTATGAATCCTAGCTTCTCTCCAGGCTCCTTTTTTTTTTTTTGCCGGATAAAGTAAGTGAATATACCCTTAGCTCCACTCTTCATTTTCTGGAGTCGTATTCCCCAAGGTGAAATAAGTGCTTTTCTTAGAAACATATTTCTCTGCCTCTTAACCCCAATACAAGCCTCACTATATCTCTGCTGTCTGCTGTTTCGGTTCCCTGAGCCAGACATCCACAAATAAATCATACATTAAATGGTTGAGTCTTGAAGGCTCAAGTAATGTCTTCTGTTGTTTGGTTTTGGATTGCATAGCTGGGATCCTGTTTGGGCCCATGGGCCTTCAATCATGTGGTTTTTAATTGTAGCATTTGTCCTATGATATTTGGAGAGTGGATTAGGATGGGAAAACCCAGGGCACTTGTTTAAGAGGGAAAAATGATGGCATTCTAAAGCAACTTACACATATGTCTATAGTGAGGGAATATTCAAGGACAGGAACGGAGTCTGTCTGTTCTTGCCATATGTCTTTACTTACTGCCTACACACTGCAGGCTCTCAGTAAGTGTCTGTTGAATGAATGACTGAGTGAGTGAATAAACCCTAGATGAAAGTTTTCCAAGAAGATAGTTAGCTCTGCTGCACAATATTATTATGCCTATAGTTTACAGTGTTACATTGTGTCCTGTCTTAGATCTACTTAGATGTTCTGTTTTAGATCTACAGGACACTTCCACATTGTGTTTCTTTTAGGAAATCTCTCTACCAGCCTCATTACAATGAGAACTATCTTCCACTCTTACCGAGCTGGGATAAGTCAATATACACTGCTAACTGAGTATCAACAGACTCATGCTATTCACTATGAACCAAACCGGGCTTTCTGGGTGACTATGCAGTCCTTCTACCGAAGTCTCAATTAACATTCCTTGTAGATGACTCCCAAGTCCCAAATCTATTATTTGCAGCCCTGACTGTTCTCTGAATTCTAGTTTAACATATTTGGCCACTGGTCAGTATTTACTAACAGCTCTTTCTGTTTTCTTTTAGCAGTACCACCATCTGGTTAGTCCCAGAGGCTCCAAATAAACCTTAAGTACTCCCTGTAATGTTGAGCCTCACATTCCATCATCAGTAACTATGATTTGTTGATTCTTTTACTGAAATGTTCCCCAAATGTTCCATGCTTTCCTGTTTCCTTGGCCCTGACCCTAGGTCAGGTCATCGTGCTCTCACATCTGTTCAGCAGATCGGCCTCCTAAATGGACTCCCTGACTCCAGTTCACCGTTCCCCTTAATCCAGCCTCACTAACATTTGATTACCCACCTAAAAGTCTGTTTGTTTTACTGTATCACTCACATCTGTTCTCAACCCTCCAACAGTTCCTTATATTGCTAAATACAGTGGAGGTCCCCTACTTGGAATTTTTCAAACTGATCCCCACATTTTCTTCTCAGCACTTGCTCTCTTTATGTGTGACCTCCACTGGCATCCAGCTGAACAAACTGACTCTGGAACACAGGTTGTACTTTTGGCTTCTCAGACTTAGTTAATACCATTTGCAGTATCCAGATCACTCCTTCCCTATGCTAAGAAATTAGTCATTTAGCATCTAGCTCATTTACCAGTCATTTAGCATCTAGCTCACTACTAACACCAACTCTATTACCTACACAATGAAGCCTTTTTCCTGTTGCTAGTGATTTCTCTCTCCCTTCAGATAAAGCAACTGCATGTGGGTGTACATGGTACAATTCTAAGGGATGCCCCCCAGACCAGCATCTAGAGCTGTGTTGCAGGCACTTCCTATACAACCAATATGCAGTGTCCTTGTCTCAAATTTATTATTGCCTTTTCCTTGTAAGCTCCTTTAGTTACTTCTTAAACTTTGTCAACTTCTAGTTTCCTTTTCAAAATAGGTTATTATGCATACGTCCTATTTCCTTTTGTAGTCTCTAGGCAACAGGAGGATACAACTAGGTTATATTAAGCTTTGCATCCAACAATGCACCTTCTAGAGTTTGTGGGAAGAATGAAGAGCAAAAATTTCCTATAATATATTCTATTTTATTTCTTTCTCTTAAATTGTGCCATACACAACCAAATCAATGAAAAATTTTTAGTATCAGCTAATTGACCAAGGGAATTTTTTTACTACTCTTACGGATTTTTCATGTTTGATGTCAAATAGATACAGCTTTAGTGTATTTTCTCTTAGAGGTGACTTCTTTAGTTTCTAGTTCATTATCTTACATTTCTTCCATGTTCTTTTCTTCTATTTAAAATATCAAAATATCCTCTTTGTTTTCCATTAATAGGTTATTTCCTTTCGAGAACTATTCCATTATTTTATGTTCTAGTGTTCCAGTATTTGTCCTGATTTAATTTGTTCTAATTAGTGAGGCTTCCATCTCAGGGAATCCTTGCCATAAATGAGTTATTCACCTTGGATTTTCTCCTTTCTTGTTAGCCAAGAAAATGAACATAATCCAGCTTATGCCTTATTTTGAAAATATACAATTACAACTCTCCATTTCACTTCTACCTTGGTACTTTTTACTTCTGTTACTCTGTTTTCAGCGGATTTCTTCTACCTTTGCTTCCACCACATCCTTTTTCCCAAATTATACTCAAAGTTCCTTGGAAGTTTTAAACTTGCATTCTCACGGGGTGAAACAAAAGGCTCTGCTCTACACAATGGGTACGCAACACATGATTACAAATGATACCCATTTTGACTTTGGAGTCTGCAGATTCATGATCATTAGCTGCCTCTATGTTCTTCCTTCATCCTGTCTTCAGCATCTGACGTACTTACTTTTGCATACGCGAGTGTATTTTTATTTTCATTCCCATAAATTTTATTGTCACATTTTGTAATATGTAATACTCTGAGATACTCATTCATCTCTTCATTCATTACTGAACAAATGTTTATTCATCACTTACCTACACAAAGTATAAGCTCTCTGGTTTGGTGGGATGCCAAAATGAAATTCTAAGCTGTTCTCTAAGAGCTTATCATTTAGAAGGGGACACAAAATGTCCTCCTAAGAGACTAGTATTGTATATCATAGGGAATATAATGTGAAGCACATAAAGGGAGATTACTTACATTAGGGTGGTTAGCTCTTTGGGGATTTTGGTCTCTACACTGAGTGTTGAAAGAGCTCTGCAGAGATGATCGGCTGGGTACTTTATGAAGGAGTATGCTCATTTTATATTGACTAAGCAATATATAATAAGTTTACTTCTGAAAAAATCAGAGCTTCTTTTTGAACCTGCATACTTTGATTTGTTTTATACATGGACAGTATTTTGTATGTTAGGAAAAAGAAATTAGTGATTTCCCATATGAGTATGTTCTCCTCTTGCTGTGCATGCTTTACTGTTCTATCGACCAAATTAAACACACTCATGTACACAAGATAAAAATAAATTCTATTTCACTTAAAATTTTTTTTATTTTATTGAGATCCTAGATATCAATAAAAGATTAATAGATCCTAGAATTAGAAAACAGATGAGCATGAGTCAAGTGTGGTCATTTAGTGTGCAGGATATGGAAATGACTGGTTACCAAGCAGCAATAATGTGACTCTTGCCCTGGCTGGCATAGCTCAGTGGATTGAGCGAGGGCCTGCGAACCACACAATCGTGGTTTGATTCCCAGTCAGGGCACATGCCTGGGTTGCAGGCCGGTTCCCTGCAGGTCAGTTCCCAGCAGGGAGTGCACAAAAGGCAACCACACATTGATGTTTCTCTCCTCCTTTCCTTCCCTTCCTCTCTCAAAGATAAATAAATAAAATCTTAAAAAAATTTAAAAAAAAAAAAAAGAATGTGACTCTTTACCAGGTATTTCCTAAGAATTTCCGGAGCTTTGGGGTTTTTGTTTTTGAGATCTCCTTCTATAGACACATTTTGACACAGAAGATTAGAAGGGATTAGATTTAAATTCAGGCCTTGGCTCTGCAAATTTAACTAGCTATAGGTTCCTAAATGAGTCAGTTAAGCCCTGATTTTTCAGATATAATGGGTGATAATAATACTTACCCTGCTTATTTCATGTGGTTGTTGAAAAAATTGTAGTTCAGCTTTCAAATTTATTTTCTTTGCTCTACAATCCAGGGGATGCAGATGGTGGGGAGCGGGACAGAAAGAGATTGCTAATCTTGCTTTTCTACATGTAAATTTAGAATTTTAAATTATTTGTTGCTTTTCTGTGATTTCCTTTTGCTTTTCTAACTAAGCTTAATTTTGAAATACTGGCTGTACATTTTGGATTTCTGAAGTTTTCTCTTAATGCCTCTGATTTTTCCTTCATGATTTAATTATCCTTCTCTAAATATAGGTTCCATAGTTCCTAAAGTTCTCTGATAAATTGTCATGTAATAGAGTTTTTAGTATACTGCCTTTAGAAACACTGGAGAAAAATACTATACTTCTTGTCACTCATACTATGGGATTTTATACATAACCTGTGCAATGATTTCAAATATTTTAATGCTAGCGATCTGTGATTCTGAGATTGATAAGTAAGGACAAAGACAGTGGGAAAGTAGTAAATTAGAAAAGAAATGCAAAAAGTGGACATTGGTTTAGAGGTTGCATGAAGATGAAACTGGAAAACACAACATTCATGCTGCCTGTCACTACCAGAACCAGTAAGTAGAGACAAGGATGGATCACTTTGGGTGCCAGCAATTTGAGAAGATCGTGGGTTATGTACCCTAAAAACTGTCTTAATATCTTATCTCAAGCCAACCTTTTGATAAGAAGAAAAGGGTGGGAAGTGGGTTTGGAATTCAGGAAAAGAGTAGGTAAAGGGGTTTAGAAATCAGAGAAAAAACTTAATCAGATAAAAGCTGCAGTCCAATGATTATCCTAACATCCCTTCATCTGCTGACCAGCTGTTCTTAGTCTGCACCCTGGTTGGCAGACATTCCCTCCCTGGAGCACAATGGCTCAGATACCATCTTGATCACTTGCAGTCCTCCTGGGCCACAAAGGTTGAATTGCTTACAGGGCCCCTTAGATTCAGGGTAGGGCTGGTCACACATTCCAGTTTCTAGAAAAACAGCTTTTTACATACATTAATCACTAAGCCTATTAACTGTAACTAAAGCTTAAAAATCTTAACCCTTGAGTCCTCCCATCAAAGATAGTGTCTATAATTTTTTTAAATAGATAAGAAAATACAAATATTTTACTTGAAAGTTGCAAAATCTGAAAGCTGAGTCCAAAGCCCAGTGGTTTAACACCAGCACAGAGGAACTAAAACAAAGTCTGGTTTGCATGCTTCAACAAGTACAATAAACTTTGCCGAAGCCAAATGAACCTCCCAGAGGCTTTGTCAAGATGTGGTGCCAGGATTCCTGTCTTTCTGTTTTCTGTTTGACAGAGATCTTGCTCTGCTCTTTCCTCTGCCAAGAGAAGCCATTGCTAGGACCTAGCCAGGCAGTCTAGACACTGGCACTGCTCAGTGACCAGGAGGCCATGAGTGGCTGGTGGCCTCTGATCAGCTAGCTTCTCCACCTGTCCCAGATATCTCTTTCATGCTACTCCCCCTGTTTCCACTTCACCTCTCTCTAAATACAGCCTTTGTCATTCAAACCCTTCCCCTTCACCACCTGTCTGCTACCTTTTCATAGCCTTCTAGGAGAAATTCAAGGATACCCTGTTTGATAACCCTCTTACCACAAACAGAGATAACCTGTGGTATGCTTGTGGGTATGAAAGCCACAGGATAGTCATTCATCTGTCCTTACGTGCAAGAAATAGTTACTGAGTATTGTGTTGTGCCAGGCACTGTTCCATGTATTGAAGTACTTTCATGAGTAAAAACGACGGAGAAAGCTCTGTGTCCTCATGGAGCTTACATTCAATAGATGCAGACAGACCACAAACAATAAGATCATTTCAGGTAATGCATATATTATAAATCTGTTACTAATTCTGTAATCATATAAATTCAGGTCTTAAGGATGAAAAGAAGGCAGAAAACAGATACACCCTAATCTCTCTTTTTGTCTTTTCTCACTAGGCGGGTAACAGTTCATGTTTGCTTCATAAATGAAGCAGCTTTAAAACAATTCATATTCTGTCTGGAGTGACAGACCGCAACTTTACCTATTCTTGCTACCCATGACTCTATACGGATGATTCAGAAATTGGAACAAAGTGTTTTACTGTGAAACTGGCACTGAATTAATCATCTGTAAAGAAGAACTTGCATGGTGCAGGACTCTATTTCAATGACTTGGGGAACTTGTAGTCTCGTTTAGAACCTGCAGCTGATGATGGGAGAGAAAAGCACGTGTCCCAGATTGCGCACCCATTTTGCATGCCTCCAGAAATGTCTAACTGCTGAGAAGCCACATAGCTTTATTTTCAGTTACAACCTGCAGTTTGTAGTTACCTTAGTCCCCTCAAGTGGAGTTCAGCGTGGAGAGTCAGGGTAGTGATTTTTCTCAAAGGGATCTAGAGGGATTTTAAAGACAAAAGTCTTGATAGCATCATCCACTGTATCTATGAGCAGCGATGGAGGAAAAGTGATTGGAATAGGTGTCATGTCAGCCTCTGTAGCTGCCGATTAATGATATGGGTCTGACCTCGGTCTCTTCCTGACATAAACCATGCTCACCCATATCCCACTAGACAGATGGACATGGTTGGCTGGATCTATCCATTCAGGGGAGCCAGCACTGAATTAGAGCAGTGAGGCCGTTGCAGAGGAGAGACTCCCCAAAAGAGTCATCGCAGAGAGAAGCTCTGAACACTGAACGGTCGCCGAGGAGGACATTTGTCGCCCCTGCTGAAGTCAGCCTTTCCCCTTGACCACTGTAACATGTATAAATCATGCTTGCAAAATATATTACAAAATGTTTATATTCTAAAACTATTACAGAGTTATGCTAAGGGACTTAGGGGAAACTGCTGAATGTATGAAGGTCCCATTTTCAACTGCCACCCTGGGAGAGAGTAAAAATAAATTATGACATTTAGTATCTAAGGTTAGAAAACCATACCCACATGCTGGTGTTGAAACTAGGTTGCTTGGATTTTACAAGAATGCAAGAAATCAGGAAACTCTACTTATTTATAGTATAATCACTATTATCCCTTTAAAAGATCCATTTATTTAAAATCAGGCACTCTATATCCATTAAGGTTTATGAATTAAAAATAAAAAGAGAGCTTTATGTAGTTATGCATGTCATTTTGCTATTTAAAATGTATGATAGCGTTTGTCATCTTGAGAGTGAATTTGGCAGGAATTCCCAAGATGGACATTGTGCTTTTAAACTAGAAATTGTAAGATGTGAATTCCCCTTGCCATTTTTTTAAAGGTCAAAAACATCTGACTAAAGTCAAAGAATGGATTCCTATGGTATCTGATGAAGGTTCTTTTACAGTATCATGAACATACACATAGAGGAAGCCAAAGCTTTCCATTATAACTTAGTCCTTACAATATTATTGCCATACACTGCCACCATAGATGACCATTCACAATGTAGTGATACAAAAGGGCATGAAAAACTAACTGCTAGTGTTTCTTTGATTTCTAAAATGTGAGAATGTCTAGTGTAGTTGGATTTTAGCTTACATTCAAATCTAACCCAAATACAACTTCAATCCGTGGCCTTTGCTCTTTTTTGTACCAAAGAGCCCAAATGATTTCTACAGTTCCTTTCCTTTTCTAAAGTGCTGTGGTTCTTTGAACACTAGTCATTTTTCTAAGATACACCCTAGTGTTTTGGGAAGCTGCATTAACTTATTTAGGCCCTCAGATATCCCATGGTATAATCAATTAGTAATAGAACCAGAGGTCATTTTAATTGCTGAAAGGACCTGTCTCTGGCATGTGGCATTGATTGTTCTGAGGAAAATAGACATAGATTAATATGAGTTATGTGAGTAGGTCATGACTAGATTGAGAAGATTGATGCTTATTTAGTTTGACTTGTTTCACCAATGGTTGTGATTTTCTAAGGCATGCGACAATTTTGTTTAATGAGCTTTTGAGAGTACAATAAATGTACTTTTGTTCTCAACTAGTATCTAGGTTTTAGCGCACAAAGACAGGATCCTAACTGATAGAGTGAAATCAACAAATTCAGCAAATTATGAAACCTGGAATGGTAGGTGAGGGGAGATATATTCTGCCTAATTAAATGTATTAGTTCATTGAGAGTTACATGTATCACCAATTTTTAAAACACTGAAGTTCCATAAAATGCATGAACAATAGAAAAATGCTGAACATTGTTTTCGATGCTAGCTGTCTGGGTATTAACTGTGTCATACTTGCTTTAAGATATATATGTATATGTATACACACATATGTATATACATATATACACATATATGTGCATATATATCTTATCTGATATGTGTTTTACCTGACACATGTTCTGATAGTCTTTTTAATAAATCAGTGTTTCAAAATTGCCTTTTAAACTGATCTCAGAAGTCTGCAGATTCTAAATTATACCGGAAGCTTTGTAACTCTTTGGTAGAACCCAAGTTTATAAAGAAACTAGCTCTGTAATAAACTGTTCCTGCCCACTGATATTCAAGTGTTCCTGGAATTTGTATTATAATCTACTGTGCTTACAACACTGCCACTTTTTAATGACTCAGAGACAAATTGGTTGTTTTAAAATACGGTAATAGAATAAGTTAACTATCCTCTTCAAAAAGGATTAAGTATGTGAAAATGAAAATGTATGAAAAAGCATGTATTCATAGTGAAGTATTTGTTTTTTAGTAAGAAATACATTTTGTTGAGCATTAAAGTACTTTGGAGAAACTTTGGCATATTTTGGAACTCCAATTAAAGTTAAATGAACAAAAAACACTGTTTAGAATTCATGAATATTACTTATTGGTCTTCTGCAGCTAAGTTTTGGTTTCAAAATGTAATTCCAATATAGAGATATATCCCTTCCAAACTATGCTTCTTCAACTACAAGTTGTTTTTCCAAAAGCCATGTTTAGCATAATGAAGTAAATACTGGGAAAAATTATAAGAATTCTTCACTTTGCTATTAACTGGTTTTGTAACATGTATAAATCATGTTTACAAAATCACCATTCCTCTCTCAGTTTTGTATTTATCTGTATGACGAACTCAGAGGTCACACGTTAGATGGGAAACATTGATATATGACTGACAATGAAAATAAAATAGAGCTGAAACCACCCCATGCGAAATACCCAACTCTGATCTTCGTGAATAAGGAATTTGAACATAAAAAATCATTGTTGCCCTGGCCGCATTGCTCCATCCGTCAGAGCGTCATCCTGATGCCCCAAGGTTGCAGGTTCTATCCCTGGTCAGGGGCACGTACAGGAATCAACCAATGAATACATCAATAAGTGGAACAATAAATCGATGTCTCTCTCTCTCTCTCCCTCTCTCCCCTTCACCCCCCCTTCCTTCCCTCCCTTCCTTTGTCTCTTAAGTAAAAGAAAAGTCATTTCTGTTCTTGTTTGTAATGTAAATAGGGTCCATTAGTAAAAGTGAAGTTCAGTCTTATGTGGGTGAATCGGATAACCATTTACATAAGAGATGGCTTTTTCCTTTGCTTAAATAAACATTTTGGATCACCTGTGAAGAATGAAAAGCACTACTATATTTTAGTCATTTTAATCAGGAAGGGATATAAGATGTGTGTAACATTTGGAAATGTACCAAATGTAAGCATTTAAATCTTCTCATTTTCATAAAAGCTAAGAGTTGAAAATGTTAAGATGCTCATCAAGGTTTTTTTAGAATGCCAAAAGATAATTTAGGATCTATTTGGAGAGAGGTCATTCATAAATTTTGTTTTAAATTGGAAGGTGGGGTAAGAATTTTAAAGTAACCTAGCTTGTCTTTGAAACATTTTGAAATTGTCATTAAAATATAAACATTCAGACTGAACTTCTGACTAGTTTATTTGTGGTACCGGGTCACACAGTGTGTGGTGTTACCGCTTTCCATGAATGAGTCTGGAAATGCTTTTGTTTGTGAAGAAAAAATAACAGTGCTTTCATTTCTTAACAAGCCATTGTTTTAGAAATAATCCATATTAAAACGGATATTCATGATCCCAAAATGTTTGCTAAGCATTTTAAACTGATAACTGCCATTTCCAACCATATCTTGATGATGATTTTGAAGATAACTGTTTAAAAACCATAGTCTTTTCAGTTACTTGATCTCTGAGCTGTCAGATTCACTAAATAACATTTCTAACAACATATCCCATTCTCCTGTGTTCTAAAGATTAATGTGTGATTTTAGTGTCCCACTTGCCAAAGTTTTTTAAATCAATGGACGTGGAAAGTATTCAGACATTTAGATGAATGCACAGATACATTGCTAGTTCAGTCAGATTGGAGTTTGCATATTGTAATGTAAATGTATGTCAGCACTATTCTAAATAGTTTTATTATGACTGAAGTTTAATTAAATAAAAATGTTGTAAAATGTGATGTGTATGTGTATATACTGTATGTGTACTTTTTAAAATAGGTATATGGTCTGACCTTTTTTATACAGGTTTGAATTTGAAATTACATTATATATACATATACTTTATTGTTCTAAATAAAGAATTTTATGCACTCTCATAAATTTGCCCTGTTTTTTGATATTTTAAGGTTACCACACATATTTACAGCATGGTTTGGCATTTAAGCTAAAATCAAATTTTTCTATGGAAACTTTGACATTTATCTAGATTTTGTTGTAATATGGACAAAAGAGGATAAGAAATCATTTTAATTAGATAAATATTGGTCACTAAAATAGCTAATAGATAAAATTGAATTAACACATTGTTTGATCTTGAGAGGTTTCTAACTTAGTTGGGGAGAAGATAGGAAAACCATTGTAGGTATACAAGGGGGGGACCCAAAAAAACAGAATTTATTTACAAAAAAAATGTGTATTTATATTTACATGTTTATTTAATTTTATTTTCAAGATTTTATTTTTTATCTATTTTTAGAAAGAGGGGAAAGGAGGGAGAAAGAGAGGGCGAGAAACATCAATGTGTGTTTGCTTCCCATGCGCCCCCTACTGGGGACCTGTCCTGCAACCCAGGCATGTGCCCTGACTGGAATTGAACCATCAACCCTTCGGTTCACAGACCAGTACTCAAACCATTGAGCCACACCAGCCAGGGCTATTCTTACATGTTTAAACTTCAGTCACCCTCAAAAGTACTCTCTGTTTGATGCAATACACCTATCGAGACTTTTTTCCCCACTGCTCAACTTGTTGATTTTGATGCCTTTTGGCACTTCTGCCATTTTTTGTTTCACTTCTTCCACATCTGCAAAACATTTCCCTTTAAGGAACTTTGTTTCATCCGAGGAAACAAAAATATATCATTCAGGGTGAGATTGGGTAAATAGGAAGGGTGGGGCACAGGGTTTTTGGTCAAAAACTGCTGAACACTCAGCACAGTGGAAGTAGGTATGCTCATAAATCACCCGTTGGGAAATGGGCAAACAGTGTTGAGTCTTCTAAAAATAGTCACTGAAGCTGGATGCAGTCTCTCACAGCAAGACCAGTTAGTGCACTGATGCAGATGGGCTCCTAGAACTCTCCCCTAGACAGGGAAGCCTGTACTACAAGGGGCCTGCCCCCCAGAAGGTAATTCTGGGTTTTTTGGGCCCCTCCTCATAAAGCCACACTGAAGTAACTACCTATGTGCAAAGCACAGTTAATGTGCTTTGGACATGCAGGAAAGAGGAATGGATACAGATGGGAAAAGATCATGGAGAAGTCAGCGTGTAGGCTAACACAAGGATTTAACAAATCGTGATAGAGATGAATAATTATGCCCAGTCTGAGCACTGTTGCTGAGAGTAGGAAGTTACAAAATTCCTCAGCTTACTCCCTCAAATCAAACCAGTGTGTCCTGAGCATGTAATGCATAATAAAATGTATAGAGCGATGAGACCTGAGCCTTTTCTGTCACAATAAGGAGGGAAGACATTTTTTCTTAAGGGCCATGAAGCCATTGCATGTTTCTAAGAGGAATAGCAAGTTCAAACACCATGGCCTATGTGGTTTAGGTAATAATTAATCATCCTGCTTATCCCCTGGTTGCTATTTGACTCTTGAGACCAAGTCTCCCAGCTTTATAACACCACACTTAATTCGCCCAGTTTTTAAAATAATTTCTGTGCTGGTTCTCCCTCCTCTGCTCACCCTTTGTATTAAACTCCCACCAGTGTAAGCCTAGACAACTACAATAGCCTCCTAACTGATCATGTGCCTTGACTATTTAGCCCTTTCTCAAGTTCCTCACCTTAGAATGACTGTATAGAGAGTGAATGGAGACAACTGATGATATTTTTCTCTGCTTAAAATGCTTAATTGGTTTCTCATAATTTTCAGAATAAAACCCAAACTCATCAACATGGCTTCCAAGGTCCTCCGTCCTCAACCCATTTCATAGTATGTTGGGGGATTGCTAAATTGTTTTTCCATGTAAGCTGTAGATAATATGAGGACTAGAATCAAGAATACTTATACAACTGCACTTCCAAACTTAATACAAATAATAAGGTATAGACTTGAGATAAAATTTGACCTGAATATATATTATCTATTGCAAATTTTTATTGTGGACACTTTGAAATACAGTTGACCCATGAAGAAAACAGGTCCACATAGACATGAGTTTTTTTTTTCAATAAATGCACAGTAGGCACGTATCCCCAGGTTTTCTATCCATGGATCCAAGCAAACATGGATTGAAAACTGTATTTTCAGTCCACAATTGGGGATCAGTGGATGCCAAGGACTAACTGTGTGCATTGTTCTATGCCATTCTGTATAAAGGCCTGGAGCATCCCCAGATTCTGCTATCTGCCAGGAGTCTTAGAACCAATCCCCTGTGGATACTGAGGGACAACTGTAGTCAAGTTTTTTGTGGAATCAAGGTTACACGTAGATTTTTGACTGAGTGTGAGGAGTATCAGCCCCCCTAACCCCAGCAGTATTCAAGGATCAACTGTATAAACCAAAATGGATAGAGTAGTATAATGAACCCCTGGCTTTGACCTTACTCAATTCCTGAATGATCTTGTTTGTCCTTCTCCTCTCAGTACTCTTTTCTGCTTCCTCTATCATATTATTTTAAGGCAAATACCTAAAAATATTCGATCTATAAGTACAGTATTTATATGTTTCTCTAAATGCTGGAAACAATTATATTTCCTGAGTCTATTCACTTTTTCATTATCATAGCTAACTATTTATGCATTATTTTTTCTCACAAATTACCCACCCTCTCCTCTATAGCTGATAATCTTGACTGCTATTTCATCTTGAAAACTTAAAAAATAAAAGAGAACTTCTAAGGCTCCTAGCCCCCAAACACTGATTTTCTGTGAAGCTAAAAAAGCCAAAACTCAGGATGCCTCACTTAGAGATGTTCTTAATATGTCCTAGGAGGGTATATAGCAATATGTTCACATGGTCATATATTTTTGTGTTTATCTTTAAGGAATTAGCAGGTGTTCTGGTGTGGAAATAGCTGCCAACAGTACTCCCTCTGACCGCGGTATTAATTCACTATGACACCGTGACCAAAGGTGCTTGGCCAGAGGCTATACCATGACTCACACATGTCCAGTTGACCTGGCACCTGAAGAATGTGGGTGATGGAGGAGAATCAAAGTTTGAAATAAGTGGAGCCAGAGCTAGTTTGTGGAAAATTCTTAAAGTCATCACAGTCACCTGGTGGGTGAAATTGTAAGTGGAGGACTCAGGTTTCATTAATGCCTGGCCAAAACTCAAAATACTTAATCATGCAGAGTATACATTCATCCACAAACATATTTCACCCTTATTGTTGAGGAAACAATAGAATTTAATAATATTGCTGTTTATATGTTGTAGGGCTCTCAATGTCCTGGCCTAACCAGATGCATAGTGTTGTACATTCACCACTGGGGCATCATCCAGAATTGTTTCGTTGTCCTCCAATAATCCCTTGTGCTTTATGTATTCAACATTCCTCTCCTCCCCCTGAACCTCCAGAAAACACTGATTTTTAAATTGTCTCCATAGTTTTTTTAATCTTTTCCAGAATTTCATATAATTTAAATCCTACAGTACATAGCCTTTTCAGGCTGGCTTCCTTCACTCAGCAATATGGATTTAAGATTCATCTATGTCTCTCATGGCTTGATAGCTCATTTCTTTTTATTACTGAATAGTATTCTATTGTATAGATATGTCACAGTTTGTTTATCCATTCCCCTATTAAGAACATCTTGGTTGCTTCCAGTTTGGGGCTATTATGAATAAAACTGCTATAAACATTTTTTGTGTGTGGAAATAAGTTTTCGTATCATTTGGGTAAATACCTAGGGGCATTAGACTGTATAAGACTATGCTAATATTTATAAGATCCTGCCAATCTGTCTTCTAAAGTGGATGTACCATTTTGCATTTCCAGCAGCTCTGAATAGATGGCTTGATACTCCATATCCTTGCCAGCAATTCTTATCAGTATTTTGGATTTTGGCCATTTTAATAGGTGGGTAATAGTATATCATTACTGTTTCAATCTGAAGTTTCCTAATGACAGAGGGTGTTGCGCATCTTTTCATATGCTTATTTGCCATCTGTATCTCTTCTTCTGTGAGGGGAGTATTCAAATCTTTTGTCATTTTATAAATTCAGTTTTCTTATTGTTGAATTTTAAGAGTTCTTTGTACATTTTACATACAAGGCCTCTGTGTTTTGCACGTATTTTCCACCAGCCTTTAAATTCTCTTAGGGTTTTTTCCCAGAGCAGCTGCAAGCATTTTTTAAAAAATTTTTAACATCTTTATTGTATATAATGCACATACCATAAAGTTGATCTATTTAAAGTATAAAATTAAATGGATTTTAGTATATTCACACAATTTTGAAACTCTCCATCACAATCTTAAGTTTAGTACATATTCATTAACCCCAAAATAACACATACTCCTTAGCAGTTTTCCCCACATTTCCCCCCAACCTCCCTCCACTCTAGACACCCCACTAATCTGCACTTTGTTTTTGTAGATTTCCTTATTCCATATATTTCATATAAATGGAATCATACCACTTAAGGTTTTTTGTGACTGGCTTCTTAAGATAATGTGTTCAAGGTCCATTCATGCTGTATGGGATGTAGCAATACTTTGTTCCTTTTTTTTTAAAGGCAAGTTAGAAAACTTTAATGTAAATAACTAGAAATCTATGGCCTAAAATTTTAGGATAATCTTTAGTAGGGCACTTTGAGGTCACAACCAATATCATCTTCTGGAACAGTTTTTTTTGTTTTGTTTTGTTTTTTCATTTAATTATTGTTCAAGTACAGTTTTCTGTCTTTTACTCCCATCCCAACCCAGCCCCCCAAGTGCTCCCCACCTCCCTCCTATCCCCCCACCACCACCTTATTTTTTGTCCATGTGTCCTTTATACTTGTTCCTGTGAATCCTTCCCCTTTTCCCCTGAAATTCTCTGTCCTCTCCCCTCTGGTCCAAGCATTTTTTAAAAACATATGTAAAAACACA